GGGCACGTTTATTCAAAAGCTCTGCATTAGAATAATGATGAGGGGTGTGAGGAGCATGTCCAGTGCGTGTATGCATGTGTGTCACGGCCGGGTCATCAATCACCAGCATCATTGATTGAATATTGATCAGCGCAGGCCATAATTCAGCATCTCTATCACACGCAGCCACACCATCAGCAGCAGAAACCTCTCCTTTCAAAGAAACAATAGAGCAAATCTTATTTCTGCCAATTAGAAGAGAATAAGAAGACAATAGGCATATGAGTGTATGCATCTTATATACACACACTTCCCTTACTGCCTTTCCATTTTTTCTCCATCTCTCTTTCCCCCTGCAGAAGAATCCTGATCCAATTTTCACCTGATCAAGAGCTGCTAGGATGGCAGAAATAGCAGCATTTTTTTTTTTTTTAGGTTTGTTCTTGCATCAAAAGCAGTTGACTACATAGTTCTTCTGCAGCGTCGACCAACTGGTTATTTATTTATTTACCTTCGCCGACAACGCAACGTTCTCCCAACCTGCAGTGCCACTAACTGAATCTACATTTATATAATGCAGCCAAGCTTCAATTGACTTTTGGACTGTTACCATCCTTTTGTTTAGCTGCTCACCTTATGGATTGTATTAAAGGGATTTTTTATTTGGAGCGCAGCCTTGAATGAGGAGAAGTGAGCTTTACACTCCAATCTGCTTGACGAAAATAGTCTGGATGAAATCAAATTTCCCCCGACGTGACCGAGAAACGGCCCCACCTCTGCCTCTGAAGCACAGTCGTACATCACGTTTTTTTCAAATGCCACATGCCTGAAGGAAATACCAGTGCTTGTACGGCAAATAATGAGTCGAGTTACATTTTAGGTGAATTTAGGTTTATGCTTTGTTTCTGCGTAAATGAAATGCCACATTACAAAAGCTCCTTAAACTTTGGCTTTGTCATGACACTCAAGTCTTGTTTTCTGCCAGATGCGCACTAGAATCAACACACATAATGTGACTTCTGTGCAGTCTTTTCAGTGTAAAAAAAGGAAAGGCCAAACACAATTCAGTAAGCAAATAAACGTAGATTTATGCTAGATTTTGAGTTGAGATTTATGCTAGATTTTGAGTTGAGATTTTGGCTAGATTTTGAGTTGAGATTTCGGCTAGATTTTGAGTTGAGATTTCGGCTAGATTTTGAGTTGAGATTTATGCTAGATTTTGAGTTGAGATTTTGGCTAGATTTTGAGTTGAGATTTTAACAATGTGGAGATGAAAGATTTTCAACCTTTAATCAATAATAATAATAAAAAACAGATCACACTCTTAATTTTAACGATTATTTAGGATAAGTATTTAAATACACTGCAAAAAAATCATTTTTTTAAGTCTATACATTAAGTGATCAGAGCTGAAATGGCAGAAATTTGAAGAGATGGATAAAAAGTAGATAGGCAAACCAAACAATTGCACTATCGGGTGCTAAACGGCGCAAACAGAATGTGCAAATAAACAGTTCTATCAGCAGACAATTCATTATTTGAGAAATCCTTCCTAAATATTTAGGAATATCAATGTAATGCTGCCTTGCAAGCACTGTAATAAAAATTAAACAATATCGCCTGTTAAACTCTGCACGTAGCATTTCCAATTAAGTATTAATGACATTAAATGACTAAGCTAACTGTGGCTGATTTGTTCAATTAGTTAAATTTCTAATTCAAAAAGAGAATCATAACCTTTATGTTGTAATACAGGAGAATATTAGAGGTGAGAAGGTGCTTGTCAATGGAAACCTCTATGATTAGCTTCAATAATTTTGAGCTGGACCTAGAGGCCAGAATGAAGTGCAGAGAAAACTTCTATCTATCTATCTATAGCTAATAATTACAAAATTTAAGCTTCATCAAAATTAAATTGAGTTGTTAAAAAAAATCATGCTGAGTGAATAAAGTAAATATTTTAATATTTTCAAAAATTGTAGAAATTAAAACATATTTAGTAGAATGCTGAATAAAAGGCAACCATTTTTCTTTATGCTTACTGATTTTTAACACTCAGCATATAAGGATGTAGGAAGGAGAACCCTTGCAAAAGGATCATCATATTTGTGAGTTTTTCAGAAAGTTTGAAAATGCCTGAGAAAGAGAAAGAGAGAGAGAGAGAGAGAGAGAGAGAGAGAGAGAGAGAGAGAGAGAGAGAGAGAGAGAGAGAGAGAGAGAGAGAGAGAGAAAGAGAGAGAGAGAGAGAGAGAGAGAGAGAGAGAGAGAGAGAGAGAGAGAGAGAGAGAGAGAGAGAGAGAGAGAGAGAGAGAGAGAGAGAGAGAGAGAGAGAGAGAGATGAGATAATTACAGTTTCTTCTAATCCTCCGGCTGTAAACTACACTCACATCCCCACTAACATGTCCAAAAGTCCCACACTAAACACCCACCAAATGTTGAACTGAAATGCAGTGACGGTGCCAGGACCAGATCCATGAAATCCCTCCCAAACCTGTGAATGATTCTCAGTGCGGTGACTGTGTAGGAATCCCCGTCAGTGAGTGTGTGTGCTGGGCGATTTTCTGATAAGTCTCACTAGCAACGCAGCGGCGCTTAGCACATATAAACGTGTGTACACCTCCACAACACTGTCAGATGCATTAATCACCTACTGTGGAGGCATTGTTTCTCTGTGAACAAAGGGGATTTGTGTGTTTCTTTTAATGTTGTAGACCCATCTTTACACTGCAAAGGTGGCAAAGATGTCCCATCTAAAGCATTAAATGTCATATGTCTGCACGCACACTGCAGATCCACTGCATTGCTGTCTGTGAGAATATCGCAGTGTGTAGTACAACTGTATACACATGAAACAAATGCTTGCACATTCCCTTGTGAGTAAATGCAATTCATCTTCATAATTATGAAAAAATATCTTCTCTTGTTATGTGGCCCCAGATTTGCTTATTATCTCTTATTAGGGAAGAAATATTTCTGTACACAGAAGCTGTTTCTTTCAACTCATGTGTGCATATAACACTTTCGGATGTTTCTATGGCTACGTCCACATTAATCCGGATACATTTGAAAACTGCGTTTTCGTTTAAAAACGCTCTCCATCCACACTAGCATTTTCAGGCATTTTCCAACGTTTCAGTGTAGATGAGAAACTTCTAAATTCACCTTACTGCGCATGCGTGAAACCTCACAAAAGCTCACCGAGATGGAAAAATAAATAATAAAGTTATCGCGCAATTCTTCTAACATGATAATTTTATTTAGCAAAATATCTCACCATCACTGATGCGTCCAGGTCGCACTCAGTCACCATATGTTTGGTCTAAAACGCAACCGCTCTCATGTTTTGCCGCAGGACAGCAAATGTGAGGACATTTTCTGTCATCTTTGCAGGACTGTGATATGAAGAGTGTGCAAAGTAACCTATTTTAGCAACAGTGTGAAAGTGAATGGCACATAACAGGCACAATACCGGTAAACATGAATATCTATTGGTACAACATGGATCACATGACTAAACTTACGTCATCGTTTTCAAATACCTCCGGCTTCACAGTCCACACTACAACGCGAAAACGGCGTTTTCAAATTTATCCGCTTTGGAGAGCGTTTTCCAAAAGCCAAGTTTTCATTGACTTAAAACGCCGTCTCAGTGTGGATGGAAGGCCAAACCGTGGAGAAAAATATACGTTTTCAAACGAAAACGTATTAGTGTGGACATGGCCTAAGTTTAATGTGTGCTATTTCTCTTAGAGCTAAATTTAGAATCATTAATTATATAGGCTATCTCATTCATTCTCATTTATGATTTTTACATGTGGACATACAGCTGAAAAACTTCAAAGAGTTGGTAGGAAAGAATAAGCACAAATGAGATATTTTAATGTCGCAATTTAGACCGAATGAGATTAAATGGAGAGCAAATGAAGACTTATGCTTCTCGTAAGAAAAATATTGTAAAGAAATCTCAAACTTCTCAAAAGATATTTCATGATATCTGTTCCAGTGGAATCACAAAAATGAAAAGAGAACTAACATGTCATAATGCGATTTAGATATAACAAAGGCAACCTATTTTAATTTATTTTAAAAAGCTAGAGCAAGATTCAAACTTCTATCACTATCTGAGCCACATCAATTGAGCTGCTCGAAGACTGAAATCCTAGAATCGCTCCTGCAATGGATGCATCATCCAACTGCAATCTACAGCACTTAGTGAATGTATATCTACAAATTAAGGAAGACTGATTTACTGACTCACTGTAATGGACAGGCACATTAACACACTCAAAGAGTACAGAGTTGCTAAAACGCAAAAGTGCTATTAGCATTAGAAGACCTCCTGTGTATATGGTTTCATCGTTGAAGAGCTTTCATCTCTCGAACAAACACACATTGCCTGCCACACTTCCATGACTATGACAACCCATTTTGAGAGCTGGCACAGTGAGACATTACCCAGCAGTCTCTGCACAACCCATTTACAAACTGCAGCGAGGCCATTTATCAGAGACTTTAGCACATGCTCAGATTGTTGCCTGTGCAGTTTCAGTAACAATCACTGACTGGAGCATGTTAAATATCCGTCGCGCTCACAGGAGTTCTTGCTCTTTTTAGCTCTGGCAACTACCGTTTTGTATGCACTAAATGCAACTAATCTAACTTAAACCCTGCATGTGATCATGAGCAACAGATTAGCTTATTTTACAGGAGAACAAAAAGAGAAGGATCCCAAGGTTGTCCGGAAAACGGGTTATATGAAAAGAGTGTCTTATTTGGAGGTATAATGAGTTTGAAGCCTCTGTTTTACGTTCCACAAACTCTCTGTAACACACTGCTACAGTAAGTCCAGGAAAAGGACAAAATCGCACAAGAAGAATACAGGTGATTCGTTTCCTTATCGCACCGAGAAAGGGTGAGCATGCGAATGTACGTTTTTGTGTGGGTGAAAATATGTTTAGGCTGTAGTGAGTGAGCATGAATGGAACATTCCACAGATAAACGTATGTTTCGATGAAACTTACCATCCTCTGTGGGTACGTAGACGTTGAGGTAAAGGCAGTCCTCGCTCTGGTTCTGTACATATGCCGCAGCTGCATCCAGGTTGTCGGTGAACCATACGGGAAGCATGATCTCTGGCAGCACTCCGTGGATGTTCTGAGGGCACACTGGTGCAAACTGGGTAGCATTACGGATCTCCTGCCAGGAGCCTGGTGCCTCCGGGGGCTGGAAGCGCCTCTCGCCCACTGGCGGGGTGGCGTAGGGGACGCCCAAGTACTGCTCGACCGGGCCTAGAATCTCATTGTTCAGCTCCTTGCGTACGCCCCGAAGCTTCCCGTAGCCTGTGGTGACCATAGGGTGCTTGGCGGCGGTGAGGTCTGCCCGCTGGCAGGAGGACAGTGCCAGGCGCAGCGCCAAGCCCAGCAGCCACACCAGGCAAGTGTCAGATATGCGGCGCGGGCAGGAGCGGGCCGTTTCCCGCCGCAATTGTGCCACGCCCACCAATGACATGCTTCGCCTGGGGTGAGTGGTGCCCCAGCGATGGGTAACTATGAATGAAACGGATAAGGGCGAAGAGTTTCAGGCTGCTCCAGTGATTTCGAAAGTTAGGAAATTTGCAGAAGCGAGGGTGTGTGTATCCTCAGTGGAGCAAAGAAGAAGACTGCTGACACTGAGCGGTAAAGAACTTCATCCTGATGTTAGTGCAACATGCGCTTCTATTGCGATTTGCTCATTAGTTCCCTACAGGGAGAGAGAGACAGAAGCAGAAAGACAGATATCATTAACTGCAGACAGTAAAACATGCATACCAACACTATCAAACACAATAAAAGGTAATTACAGTATTGCCTGAGGTTTAAAAATCATATCAACCATAAACATGTGAAACATGAATCTAATTAAATATCATTTGTTCCACTGCATATAATCTTTCTCTTAATGTTTGTTTAATATCTTGGTTCAAATATCATCTTCTTTTTCTGGAGTATTCTCTTAGGCGCATAATTACAGATGCATATCTGGACCATGGGCCGTTCTCTATCTCCAGTGCGCTGTCACATCGTTGAGAGGTGCGCAACAGCGACACATATTCACGCTCGGGTACCGGGGGGTGTGAAATACTGAGTGTGTTGCTTAATTGACTTCCTCGGAGGAGATGACAGCACAAGTGTGTTCATTTTAAGTTCCCCCCGACGTGCTGATGCTCTAGATTCTTGGTTCCTGCCTCCCCTCCGTTCCACTTGACTTAGCCGTGCTAGTTTCAATCTCGCTAGAGTAGATGGGGGCATTTGGGCGTAATGACTGTCTGCCGCTGACAGTCTGTGACACAATCACCTTCCCCCCGCTGCTAAGCTAAAGACATACATCTACAGGCGGGAATTAACCACATGACATAATGATCTACGAGGAACGCAAGGAGAAGTGTTTACCGCCATTTTGGCATAAAAAGACGTTATGAACGGGGACTGGGTGTACTGAGACAGACCAATTTAAAATCGACCCATAATGAGATACTTAATTCTGGAGTCATATAGTGTACCAGGAATCAGTGATTCAAGAATGATGATATCATACACGATTGGTCCTGGAAACTGCTTACAGAGTGAATAATCTACAGTGGACAGCATGTATCTGTGCTTAAAAACATAGGCATACAAGAAGCATCCACTAGAAAGCAGTGTTATTTTAGTATCATTTATATGCTACTATAGGTTTTGTTTATATATTTTGAATTAGCTTTTATATTTTTAGCTTAATATTAGTTTAAGTTTTTGTAGTTTTTTAGGGGTGCTTTTGACATTTTTATTTTTTAACTTTTTGAATTAGCTTTAATTTATTTTAGTTTTAGTCATTTTAGTATTTCAACTTAAACTTATTTCAGATAGGTGCCAAAGCAACATTTCTAGTAAAGTTAACATTTCTGTCTAGTATTTGTATTTTCTTTTATTTCAGCTTTATTTCAATTATTGCATTTTATTTTAGGTAACAATAACAATACTGTTATGAAGAGTATGTAAAACTACAATCTATACACACACACAACATGCAGTAAATCATGAGTAAGCCATGTGGAAGCAAAACACTTTTTTCTTTTTATACAAGATTAATACACTGATTGTGCAGGGAAATATGTGGCATGGATGTAAATATGGTAAAAATGTGTTGCTGCATTAAACAGTGGCATGCAGTGGTGTTCTGAAATGAGGCAAAGTCCTCAGTTGTTTTTTAATACATCAAATGTAAATTTATGTCCCAGTTAAACTTAATGTTGTCACATTTTCCTGGTTAAATAAACATGAAAATGTTACTTTACATTACATAAAAAACTCTATTTTTATGATTGTTCTATTTATTAAAACCAAGTATAAATCTAAAGGCAGAAACCATTTAAACAATATATTTGATTTGCGAACTGATGTTTAGCTGTTCTTATTAATAGTCAACTTATTTTCAGATCATCAGACATGCTCGATAAACACAGAGACGGAGATGTATCTTTAATTTCTCCAAGCTGATTTCTCATTAAAAAAAAAACACAGTCATCATGTTTTCAGGCCACTTCAAGTTTGATTTTGATCTGACATAAAGCGTTGCTATCTAAATGGCTGAGTTGTTTACTTACTTTTTAATTAGTCTTCCCATTAACGGCATCCTTTTTGTTCATTCAGACTGACACGCGTAATGCGCACGTAAACAAGAGGCGGGATTTAATCGCTATAACCAATCATATCCAATCATGGCGTCTCTCATTTGACTTTCCCCCATTCATTCTCATTAACTCACCGCACGCTTTAGGGGGTCTGTTAAAAGTCAATGGGCTCAGGCCAGGGGAGGCAAGAGAGATGTGGCGTCCTGCTGTACCTGCTGAGTGTTACTTAAAAAAAAAGAGTGACTTGTACATGTCATGATTCTGCCATCATGTTATTGATTATTCCTGGTCTTGTGGCAGGATCATGACAGAACCAATGTTTTGTGTACAAGCACATGGCCAATTGTCAAGGCCATGTGCTTGTGTTGTCTCGTCTCTTTACCCCGCGCCCTTGTTATCCTGATTCAGTCTTTATTGCTTCACTCATGTCACCTGTTATGTCTTGATTAGTCTCCTTATTTAATCCTCTTGTATCTGCTGTCTTTTGGTCGGTTCATTGTGATTGTTACCTGAGTGTTAATCCTTGTCAAACCTTTGTCAGAGTCTGTGAGTATCTTGTCAAGAGTTTTAGTCCTGTTGCGCTATTGCCTGTAAGGGTTATTTGTGTCCCTATAGTTATCTGTCTCAGTCTAGTTAGTCGTCATCAGTCCTGTCTTGTTTTGCCCCCTCGTGGGCTTTGTTTTCCCGGTTATTTGTCTAATAAATCGTGTTGCCTTGACTACTGTCTGCTATTGGGTTCATCCTTCCTCACCCTCATAACAAAATGAACCGACCAGAACCGAACCCAGCAGACAGCGCGCCTATTTACCCTACTCTGCAGTCGTCAGACCCCGAACGATGGTGGCAGTCGGCCATCGCCGACAGCCTGGAAGGCAGGCTTCCTTTCCCTCCTCAGGGTAGGTTGACCCTGAGGAAGTACGCCCAGGTTGTGGAGGAGAGGAGGTTTTTCTTGCCGGAGATCCTGGTCAACCGCTACCTCATCGCGGGTCTCAACGTCCCTCCTCCTCTCGCCGAACGAGAAAGACTGGTCAGCCGCCCGTTCCACAGTATGGTGGACAGTCTGTCACGGAGGGAGCTGCAGGGTGCTACAAGGTCTTCATCTCCCGCTACACTGCCAGTGATCCCGGAGGGTCGTGTTTTGGCCGTCATCTCTCAAGGGGATCAGGCTCTCTCCGTTTCTTCTCCCGAGGTTTCATCCACACCCGCAAGTCTCCGTGGAAAACGAGGGAGACGGATTTCCTGGGAGTCTGCTTCGGAGTCTTCAGCGACGGAGTCTTCCCTGCCTGAGACAGCCCTCCCACTTCCAGTCATGGACCCTGCTGCGCTTCTTCTGCCGATCACCAGTCCAGCTGTGACATCAGCTCCGCGTCCCAGAAGGAAGAGGAGGAGGAAGGGACCCTCTTGTCCTTCGTCTCTGTCTTCCCATGAGCCCGCTCCAGCAAGCGCCGTCCATGAGCCCGCTCCAGCAAGCGCCGTCCATGAGCCCGCTCCAGCAAGCGCCGTCCATGAGCCCGCTCCAGCAAGCGCCGTCCATGAGCCCGCTCCAGCAAGTGCCGTCCATGAGCCCGCTCCAGCAAGTGCCGTCCATGAGCCCGCTCCAGCAAGCGCCGTCCATGAGCCGCTCCAGCAAGCGCTGTCCCAGAGCCCGCTGAGAGAGTTGCGGCCGATCTAGCCGCTAAGGAGGTTCTGCGAGCAGTTTCAGCTCGTCAGGAGATGCCCGTCATCATTGCGGCCAAGACCCTTTCCGATTACCTGTCTCGTCTCGTCGCTATTCTTGAACCCCCTGTCTGTCCTGCCTTGTCCTCAGCTCCCAAGCCTGTCTCTGTGAGCGCTGCACCTGATCCTATCCCTGTGAGCGCTGCACCCGAGCCTACCGCTGTTATTGCTGCACCCTGTCCTGCCCCTTTGCCTGCTATGTCTCACGTCAGGAGTCCCGGTTCCGCATCCTCTGTGTCCTCGTCTGAATCTGTTGCTGCTAATTCCCGGTCTGTTTCCTCGTTCGTCCCTGTCTCCACCAGCCCCCGGACTGTTTCCCCATCTGTCCCTGTTTCCACTAGCCCCCGGACTGTTTCCCCGTTTGTCCCTGTCTCCACTAGTCCCCGGACTGTCTCCTCGTTCGTCCCTGTCTCCACCAGCCCCCGGACTGTTTCCCCGTTTGTCCCTGTCTCCACTAGTCCCCGGACTGTTTCACCGTTCGTTCCTGTCTCCACTAAGCCCCGGACTGTTTCCCCCAAGACCTCTCCTCGTGTGTCTCCGTCTAAACCTGCCCAGAGTCCTCGTCCTCAGCCCTCATCCCGTGGACCCAAGACCCCCAGTCTTCCCATCCACCCTGGACCTCCCCCCATGAACTCTGTGTTTCCTCCACCTCCTTTGCCTTGTATGTTGTTTTTGATGTTTCACCCCAACCCTGTTATTGTTTATTCATGTATGCCGCTTTTAGTGTTTTCCATGTTTTGTTGGTTTTTGTCTATGTCTCGTTCCGTCTTGTCTTGTGCTTAGTGTCCCTTTGAGGAGCGTCTGGTAGCCGCTCCTTAAAGTGGGGGTTCTGTCATGATTCTGCCATCATGTTATTGATTATTCCTGGTTTTGTGGCAGGATCATGACAGAACCAATGTTTTGTGTACAAGCACATGGCCAATTGTCAAGGCCATGTGCTTGTGTTGTCTCGTCTCTTTACCCCGCCCCCTTGTTATCCTGATTCAGTCTTTATTGCTTCACTCATGTCACCTGTTATGTCTTGATTAGTCTCCTTATTTAATCCTCTTGTATCTGCTGTCTTTTGGTCGGTTCATTGTGATTGTTACCTGAGTGTTAATCCTTGTCAAACCTTTGTCAGAGTCTGTGAGTATCTTGTCAAGAGTTTTAGTCCTGTTGCGCTATTGCCTGTAAGGGTTATTTGTGTCCCTATAGTTATCTGTCTCAGTCTAGTTAGTCGTCATCAGTCCTGTCTTGTTTTGCCCCCTCGTGGGCTTTGTTTTCCCGGTTATTTGTCTAATAAATCGTGTTGCCGTGACTACTGTCTGCTATTGGGTTCATCCTTCCTCACCCTCATAACAGTAAACTTTTCAATGACAAATTTTGCACGGTTTAT